TAAAATGAATACTGCTTTGCAAGAAAAATTGCTTTGGAGATACTTTAGGGAAGATGACAGGATGTGGGAAAAAATTATTGATACTCGTTGGGGTTGTTTAATGGGGGATGAGAGGGGTAGTGAGGTGGCTGTACCTCATGGTAGAGGCTTGTGGAAGATGATTGGTTTGGGTCTCTTCAGAAATTTAAAGAATGCATCACTTGGAAAGTGGGGAGGGGGAATAAAGTTCTTCTTTGAGAGGATGAGTGGACGGGAAGGGGTAGGCTCAAGAATGTGTATCCGCAGATTTATGCTATTGCTCAGGCCAAACACATCAGGGTTGATGAAACTTATTGTGTTGGGACTGGTGGTAAGGGGTGGAATGTAATTGTGAATAGAAACCTCAATGATTGGGAGGTGGAGGAGTATGAAGCCTAATTGCAGCTCCTATCTTCGGTCAGATCAGTGGTGAGGGGATAACATGATCTTGAGGATTCGGAATAATGGGAAATTCTCTGTCAAATCTTACTACCATTTTCTAGTTGGCAATTTGGGGAATAAAGATGATTACTTTCCTGTTAGTTGGATTTGGAAAACTCAAACTTATCCAAGAATTGTGTTTTTTTGCTTGGAAAGTGGGTAGGGAATGTGTTCTGACAATAGATAAACTGATGAAAAGGGGTAGAACTATGGTGAATGGGTGCTGCTTATGTAAAAGGGCTGCAGAGACTTGTAACCATATTCTCCTTTGGTGCCTGTTGGCTTATGAAATGTGGACAATGGTGTGCAATCTTCTTGGCATTAATTGGGTCATTATTGGGTCAGTGAGAGAGGAATTATGGGTTTGGAATGGTTTATGTAAAAAAAAAAATTGTAAAGATTAGTATTCCGTTGACCTTTTTTTGGGTCATTTGAAAAGGATGTAATAGTAGAATTTTTGATGGTATAGAGGGTGAGTAGACAAAAATTAGAGATAAATGATTTCATTTTTTTGGCTCGTTTAATATTAGGACATAACGTATATAGGATGGATTATTTTTGGAACGTCATTGAAATGGTTACTACGTTGTAAATATCTTTATACGTAGGTGACCCCCTTAGTGCTTTCTTACTTAATTTTATGCTTTTGATTTCAAAAAAAATTATGAGTTTGGTGTCTTCTGTATGAGATTTTTCTGTTAGGTGCCACCTTAATAGACAAACCAAGCTGTGATTAAGCTGTAGTTAGTTGATGTAGGATTTTCTTTTAAAAAGATAAATCAAGTCAAGTGGTTGATACTTACTCTTCCAACATGGGGATGATACACTTTTGAAAAAAAATATAAATTTTACTATATTATTGAATCTCTTAATTCATGGTCTGTTGTACAAATATTTTTGGCAAGAAAATGATAATGGAATTAATACAGTTTCTTGCGAAAGATTGGTTATTTTTCTGCTATGAACCCATTGACCTCTACATGAAGTTTTCCTTGTCTGCAACTGAGGTGAATTTAAGGCCTTGAAAAGAAGATTAGAGGGACATGGTCCTCTTTCCAGATTCAGAGAGAGCACAAATGTTCATAATTTAGAGAGATTTTTTTTTTATTTAATTTAATATTGTCTGTAATCTTTGGTACTGGTTGATTATACCTGTGGTTTGATTTGAAACTAAGTTATTTTCTTATTGTACTAAGCTCATATGCTGATAATGTTAATTTTCCTCTTCATTCCAGATTTATTTTTCTTCTAAAATGGAACTTCCTATGTTATTGATATAAAGTGCAAATATTTTTGTCAGATCACAACTTCTCTTGAGCAAAGATGTTACAAGGAATTGAGAAATGAGCAGTTTCACTCTGTAAAAGTTGTTATGTGTATCTACAGAAAGTTGTTGGTTTCTTGTAAGGAGCAAATGTAAGTTCTCTTTTCTCACGTTGAGTGTGATTTAATAAAGGCCATGCTAGCATTCTGTGTATAATGTTTCCCTCTTCAGGAGGTTAGATATAAGAAAAATGTAACCCAGTGTATAATTTCTCCTTCACTAGTTACTCCTGAACAAGAGGTAAGAAATTCAGAGAACTTGAAAAAGAAAAATTGAAGTTAGTTTACTGAAGAAGTCTCCATATAGTTGATAGATACAGTGATTGAGCTGGATAAATTTATAATGCCTCTCCTGTAAATCCACTGGGTGGAAGATTTCCTGAAAATAAAAAATTTCTGTCAGTAAATAAAGCTTAGCATAAACTAATACTGATATGGGTGGTTTCTGATGGCTTATTCTTTAACTTCATATCTATTGTCTATTACTTAATCTCTTCCACTTTTTTTTTCCACATTTTTTCTATTGCAGGCCATTGTTTGCAAGTAGCCTTCTTAGCATTGTACACATTTTATTAGATCAGACAGGAAATGATGAAATCTGCGTGTTAGGATGCCAAGCACTGTTTGATTTTGTCAATAATCAGGTGGGAGTTGTTAGTGGGTTATTGCTTTTTTGATTGCAAAATCATCTCATTTAAATAAAACCTTGATTTCAAGTAATTACTGTTGAGCTCTCAGGTTTTCAAGAGCCCGTTATATATGAATTAATTTTCATTGAGATTCTTTCAGTTGAAATCCTTGGGCTTAGCTGATGCTTTTTCCAATTATGCAGACAGATGGCACTTATATGTTTAACTTAGATGGCTTGATTCCAAAACTTTGCCCCTTAGCTCAAGAAATGGGAGAGGAAGAGAGGGTATGCCATTTGCGTTCTGCTGGCCTTCAAGCTCTTTCTTCAATGGTACTACATCCTGCAGACTTCTTATGCTGAGAAGTGATAATTGAAACTATGTTGCCTCTTATTTCCTTTACTAGCTTTCAGTATCAAAATTTTACCTGAGGGATAGAGAGAAGAAATTTAGTGTTTTATATAAAAGACATTAGAGGAAAGGTGACCATGAATACATTTTAAGTTCCTTAACCTGAGTCTAGAGACTAAAGAATCTTAAATTTTAAGTTCATGCTGTGGCCTTGTTGACCAGGAATAAATGTCAAATTGGGTTTGTTAAGAGTTTGTTCAGTTTATAACGTCAGAGATCTATTTTAAGCTCGGCAAGGATTCTATTGATTGTTTTCCTGAATAATTTTTTAAGACTAGTATTTCTTTGCCGACCACATTCTGAGATTTGAGGGTTTTGGATAATAATAATTTCATGTCTATGGTAGTTATTTTATTTAAAAAAGAAATTTCTATGGTAGTCATTGTTGCAGAGTACTTTTTCTATAAATACTAATGTCTGATTATATTTCTCCCTGATTCTCAAGTTTGTTTCACTATAGTTTTCCTTCATAGTGGCATAATCCATCTTGCTAGAAAATAATTAACAGGTGATCATTTTATCTATTGGATTTTAAACTAGTTACTCTTTTCACAGGTCTGGTTCATGGGAGAGTTCTCTCATATTTCAGCTGAATTTGATAATGTGAGTTGATTTAGGATAATGTGAGTTATTCTTTTGAATTTTTTTATTTGCACTATGCCATTTCTTTTGGCGATCATGTTTTATATTTGTTGTTTATTTTGGTTAGCTGTTCCTTGAAAAGAGCTTGATTTTGATGTCAGATTGTGAATTTCAATAACTGTGCATCTATTGAAACCTTTTTATGAATTAAGGAGTTTTTTTAATCGAGCATCCATCTCACTAAAAATATTAACTAGATATAATACTGCATCCACTTCTTTTGTAGGAGAACTTTATATTGACAACTATTCTTATTCTTCAAAGCTCAGGTTGTTTCTGTTGTTTTGGAAAATTATGGAACTTCTAAGAAGGCTTCAGATGCTCTATTTCATGACAAGGAAGATAACCAAAATCGCTCTATTGATAGAGAGTTTTTTCCCCAAGATCCCATCGCCAGGATTTCTTCTTGGAGAAGTATTGTCAATGATAAAGGCGAAGTTTGCGTGCCCGTGTAATTCTCTTTTTTCAGTTTCTCATAGCTATAGTAATATTGATATCTGATAGGGATAATATTATAGATAATCTATGCCTACTCTTTCCCTTTCTTATATAAAAGAATGTGACAGGGATGATGCCAAGAAGCCTGAATTTTGGTCAAGGGTTTGCCTTCATAATATGGCCAAGCTAGCAAAGGAAGCAACAACTGTGAGACGTGTACTGGAATCATTATTTCGTGTTTTTGACAATGATGACCTGTGGTCCCCTGAACATGGTCTTGCTCTGTCTGTCCTGCAAGACATGCAGTTATTAATAGAAAGATCTGGTTTGTAATTTTGCCATTTGTTCTCTTTTGCGTTTACATTTGATTTCCAAACTATCTTTTATTGATCTTTAATTCGCTGCACAGGACACAATACCCACTTTCTGTTATCCATCTTGATCAAGCACCTTGATCACAAGAATGTTCTTAAGAAGCCCAATATGCAACTGCACATTGTTGATGTTGCCACTTCACTTGCTCGGCAAACAAAGGTTCAAGCCTCTGTAGCTATGATTGGTGCAGTGAGTGATATGATGAGACACTTGCGGAAAAGCATACACAGCTCAATTGATGATTCTAATTTGGGAGCTGAAATGATTCAATATACCGAAAAATTCCAAGCAGCAGTTGATGAGTGCCTTGTACAGTTATCACTTAAGTGACTTTTGACCTGC